CATTAACATAGGAAAACTGGAATAAATTGACCTCCGATAAGGAATATTTTGATGAGGAACAGAGACCGAAGAGATATGAAATCATATAACGGTCATTGGTATATGTGCTCGAAGAAAGAACGAAGTGAAAACGTTTCGGACTGTTTCATAAACTTACTTTTTTTGGTAACAATTAAATCATTCATGGCTAACGAAAATGCATCATATTAATTAAGTTGGTAAAAGCACACAAAGCAGCTGAATGGCAATTGTTAGGTTCCTGCAATCGTCCGATGGTGATAGAAAGAAAAACTTGTTTGGTTAAACGCTTAGGTCTGAAAGTCTTTGCACACCTTTCAAAGGCAGTGACCTATAACAGTGACTGAAAAAATGCAGTGAACGCTAAAAACGTGACCGAACAACCTGAACGTTTCCATTATATTCCTGATACGACTTCACTTATTGGCAACTCCAACCCGGCTTACTACCCGCAATTATAATCGAGCCTTGCTAGTGACTTACCTTGCATGAAAGTAAATACAAACGGTCCTGAAATGTAGTGACTCCAATCTTGGTTGGCCTTGCAAAGCAATTTCAACTGATTACTTTAACCCAAATGTGTTGTTATAACACAGTTGTCTTAGTTGTTTTCCAGCGAAGGTGTTTTATAATGAATGTTTTGTTCAATGACGCAAATAGGTGCAGAAATTTAAGCTCAAAGGCAAACTGTCAACGCAGGATTTGTTTTATATATTTAACCCTATTCAGACTGGGGGGGGCTTTTCGAACCCCCCCTCCGGCAAAATCGTGATAACTCCTACACCGAAAGAGCTATGACGTTCAAATTTTCTGACTTTTCCTAAAATTTATCTAGGAACATTTTGGTATAATTACCATGTCCATGTGATTAATCATGTTGCCATGGCAACCAGTTTCTGACACATAGGTTTTGGAAAATTCAAAAAATGGTGATTTTTTTGTTTTAAGATCGCGTTTTTACACTTATAGTGCTTTTTGTAGTTAAAATGATCTTTGCTTGGGACTAGTTTTTGAATTACATCAAAATGTTTCAACATCGAATATTTTGGGGGAAGGGGTGGGGTAAAATTTGTCACTTTTTTGCTTTGACAAATATGCTGCTCTATTTTCCAAATAACACTTCCAAAGTCATTTGTTTGGGTAATAAACATTAGTTTGATACTTCTTTTATACATTCTGAGCTTTTTCCCCTTTGAAAGTTGCTTTAAATTATAATTTTAACAAAAAAACGGAAATCCAAGATGGCGGATCCAAGATGGCGGACAACCATTTCAAATTTTAAATTTTATTGCTTCCTATTGCGTTTTCTCGCTGTACAAGTGTTTCCTTGTTACTAGTTCATAAGAAAGGACAACAAAGAGATCACTTTACCAATATTATTGATATTTTACGTATCTAAGTGGAAAAATAATAAGAAACATTGAAAATCGGAATATGACGTCACTGTGACGTCATCATTGGGCGTGGCAAGTCAAAACTGGGTGTGGGGCTTCTTTGTACGGAGATGATCATTGTGTGTAAATTTCATGACCCTAGCATTATTGGTTCCAGAGATACAGAGGGGGGGTCCGAGGAGCCCCCCCCAGTCACAGATTGACCAAAAAAGCCCAGTCTGAATAGGGTTAAGATTAGATCAAATAGAAATTCAAATGCAAACAGATAACTGCTCGTTAGACAGTTTATCCCTTACTGATATAAATGTTTAATCAAAAACAGCATCTCTCTAGATTTTATCAACGTTTAAGCTGGTTAATAAGGATAATTGTTAAAATTGCGCCAGACCAGTCGCAAAGAGGAAAATGCAGTTTGTTTAACAAACATACTGTAGTTTACTGACATTATTTAATGGTGAAGTAAGACAGAGATATTATTTATTTATGAGGCCATTACGTTTTATACACCCTATTCGCCGTTTCTGGTTTGTTCTAAACCCCGGGCTAATTCAGTCTTCATAACCCCAGCGCTGAATAAACCTTCGATTCGATGGCATAATTATTTGATTGAAAAGGAGGCTGCATGGTTAATGGACCACCATCAATCAACGTCATTTGCAAATGCTGTGGCTAGTTGTTTATTCACGAGTGAGCTAATATATAGAGCGTTTTCAGTCACATGATCAGCATCTATGTAAAAAAGAAAGTGTTAACATAGGAAATTGAGTTCAACTCCCACAGGACTGGTTTGGAACATCACTGTTAATTTTATTGCCTGGAACACCAATATGACAGCCGTGACGTCATGTGAAAACGCTCTAATTTATCAGCAGCAATTATTCACTGAAGGCACGCAAATGACCAACAACCGTCAGGCGTAGCGTTTTCTTGCCGACAAATAAAACTTTTGAAGGCATTTGTTTAGCTATTGTGGGGAGATTTCCTCAAAAGGAGTTATAAATTCTCTTGGTATTTGAAATCGTACTATGGTGGCTCACAACCGTCACGGCAAAACCAAAACCTCACGGCAAAACCAAATACTTCACAGCAAAAGCAAAATAGCTTTGGTTTTGCCGTGGGTATTTGCTTTTTCCGTGAGGTATTTGGTTTTTGCTGTGAAGTATTTGTTGCCGTGAGGTTTTCAGTTTTGCCGTGAGGTATTTTGTTTTTGCCGTGAGGTTTTTGGTTTTGCCGTGACAGTCAGGTGGGCCACCGTAGAATCGCTCTAGTTCGCCGATTATTAAACAGTAATCGGCAAACTCAAAATCCTTCAAAATCGCTCAAATTAATACCCGCTTTTGAGGCAAAAGGGCGACTAAAGGCAATTTAGCGTTTATCTAACCGTTTGATTTATATACACACTTAGCAATATATCGCTATGGGTGAGGCAAACGGTAAATCCAGTACATTTACTATAAAATAATAAATAATCATTCCTCGAGCCCGAGAGGAATCATTGTTTTACATGTAGTAGAATCCAACTAGTTGGTCAAAAATATCGAGACAAGACAACTTTAGCTATACTAGCAAAACCCGATACAGCAGCCATTGTTTTCGTTTCCAAAGCCGGCACTTTTCGCTACTAGTGAGCTATAACATATAGCCTAGTAGTAGCTCAACCAACCAGAAGGCAGCATTGATAATAGAACACTCGCTAGATTTTACTAACATCGGTTACACACACGGATTGTGTGGGCCCCCTATGATTGCACTGTAGAGATTTACCGGGCGGCAAGAGAAAGCTAAGCCGCTGTTATGGTCTTTTGCAGGTGGATAGCGTTATCCGCCTTTTAAACAACTGGTTCCTGCTCACTAATTCCTACTAACAATATCAACTTGAACGGCTATTGAATGAATGGGCTCCTGAGAAGGTCTCAATGGGGTGGTGGCTTTTACGGTTATCGGCTAAAATTTTGGTTCTTTTACGGCTATCGGTTAATTTTTTTCAATTACGGTTAACAAAAAAGTTAAAAATTAATTTCTTTTGTTTCAAAGAGTTAAATATTAATTAACCTGTATTTTTTGTACCTTTAAAGCAAAATAAAGGTCTTAGGATCATCTCGGGATGAAATAAGCTATTCTTTTGAAAAATTTTAACGGCATTTCCATCATACTTTATATAAAGTTTTCCACTTCTTTACTTTAAGCGTAGAAATGCCAATAGTCAATTTAAAAATAATCTTTGTGAAAAGCAAACACAGACACGCGAACGACCAACTCAAGCCAGGGGCGCGACGTTCATTTAGAACATAAATGGCCGTTTTCAGACTAGAGACGGACTATTCGTTTGAGACAGGTTATCATCCGTTTGATAATTCGCGTCAGATAGGTAGCACTTCTTAATTTGAAAATTGAACATATGGTTTTTATTTTGAATGAACAATCCGCCTGACTTTATCCGTCAATTTTGACGGACAGTTTGAAGATGGATCATCCGTTTCAGATAGCCTGTGTACAAAATTGACATTCAAACAGCTGTCTACGGCTACGACCATGACGACCCCGCTCTGTTTTGGGTTCTTTCGGTGTCGTGTTGTTGTCTTGCAAAGTTAATTTTCACGTAGTACGATCAGCTTTGCATAATCCAATGTGTCTAGCCTGTGTTCAGCCGCCCCTCCCCTCAGAAAAAATCGGACAAGGGGTGTCCGTCGGGGAGGGGGCGACTGTACACAGGCTAGTCTCAGACGAATAATCCATTTCTAGCTTTAGCGTGAAAACGGCCAATAACAAAATTCCCGTTTCCAGTGTTTTTAATGGTAGCAAAGGACTGTAAAGAAGGACTGTCTGCCGTTGCCTTGTCCGTAGGCCTCATTATTCCGCTCGGCTAATGCGTTTCGGGTCACGTGGTCCGAGCGAGTTTTTTTCTCAGATACGCCACGGAAATGCCTGGACGGAGACTGCGTGGGAAGACGGTGTACAGGGACTAGACATGGCAATGTCTACCGTAGACAGTGACATCTCTGCGTGTTGTTTCACTGATATTTCGAGGGCATGACCTCCTGAAAATCGCAAATATTAATTCCCTGCAAGAAGCCAGATTTTCGCTATAGAAAAAATTAGTTGCCCGAGATAGTGGCGGAAATGGAGCCTAGGTCTAGCTTGTCAACAACTAAAAGGCGCTTGGCCTAACGTGCGTACGTAGTCAAAGTAGGCGGGAAATAAAAAACGTAACCATTAGTGAGTTTAGCACCTTCCTTAAAATTAACAAATCATAGGGAACAATTTCTTTTACGGTTAACTCTTTTTTACCCTATTTACGGCTAACGGTTTAAATTTTTCAAATTTTACGGCTATCGACTAAATTTTTGGCCGTTTTACGCCTATCGGTTAACCCCATTGAGACCCTCTCCTGAGGGCAGTTCTTCCATCTCCGATGACTAAAACACGAACCAGTTCCCATATGAGCCCGTTGGCAAAGCCAGCTTTGGCCGAGTGAGACTGGTTTCCAACAAAGGTAAACTTCTAAAAATAGCTTCAAGGTCTTGGATGGAAGGAAAAACCGAGGGAACATAACTTCATTTTAGCGAAAATTGGCTCCTTGATGAAGATATGGCTGGCTGGATAAATATTCCATTGAAACGGTCCGATGGTGTGGACTTTAAAAAGCCTTTGGAGAAGTTTATCAAGAACACATTTTCCGCTGAGGTAGCTACGGAAAACGAGGACGCCATTGCTGAACTCACGAAGTTGAGAAATACTTGTGTCATGCAAACATTAGATAAACACGAATCTGCTTTGGAACCTTTGTTGAGGTGAGGTGAAACAGTATTACATAAACAGCATTTCTGTTGGTTGTGCGGGGAATATCGCTCGGTGATTTGATGTGACAGTGACACATACAAGCAATTAAAAATTGATTGGTATGATTGCAGTTTACTCCGCTTTAGCCTGCTTTAGCTTACATTTTGGTATGGAATTATCACCCAGCTTTTATCATGACTTTTTTTGACGTCGTATGTTGTGTTGAAGCTCCAGTAAACGGTACTTTTTGATTCTGCAGCATGGAAGCTGAATTTAATTTCTGTTATTTGTAAACGATTTTTAGATCCCAAGTTACAGCTACCCATCTGTGTAGTTCGGGATAAAATGAAATAAATATTAGTGCTTGCTGTAAATAATGCGCAGGAGCATCAACGCACAAATTCATTATAATGTACAGTTAATCAGATTTTGCGTTTTTCAGTCAAGTCAGAGGTTATATTGTTGCATGTCACTGGTGTCATGTCTATATTTACCAGTCATGATGATGAGATGTTACCCTCATGAAAGGCATACCATGTCATTGCAAAGGAATCTCCAGAGTGAATTTTTTAATGAAGGGTGCGAAGTTAGAATCAGTCAGCTTTTGATTCAGAGGATTAGTCCCTGGGAAGGGGAGGGGGTGGAGAGGGGCCACTACCAAAGTACCGATGTATTAATGTAGGTATACCACAGGCACCCTAAGTTCTTGTGGTTGTTATTGTTATTGAAATCTGAGCATCGAATTTTTGTACAAAATAGAACAAATACACAAACACCATGCTAAATCAAACACCTAGAGTTGGTCCCTGCCTTTCTTTACTCTACCTATTTTGATCTTTACAAGATGGAAAACACTCTTAGATGGACACTTAATGCTGGTTATCCTGAAGCAGTTGTCTTAGAGAGAAGTGAATGTACTCCAAAACACAGATTTGAACCTAAATGTTCAAGCGAAGTTCAAGCAAAATGTTAACTTAGTCATTTGTCATGTTTTTAATGCTGCACTGGCAATTTTAAAGCATCATTTTGCAAGATGATTGTTTGACCAGCAGTTTAGAACTACATTGTAAAGTAATATTCATGTATCTTGCTGTGAAGGTTAGCCTATGAAAACAGCCAACATTCTGTGATCGGACCACTAGCAGGGCTGTGCTCCAGTAGAGCCCGATGGCTCTGGTGCCTTACTTTTGCCCTGGGGCGACTAGAAAATCTCAAATTTTTCATACAAATCATATGCTGGGCCCCCTAGATTTTACAGTTTCAGAGCACTGGGCTCCCTTCATTGAATTTTCCTTAGAGCACAGCCTTGACTAGTTTCCCCGTGAAATGAGGCCTGAAGAACAACTGCAATAAATCCAACCTGATGACATGTCACTAACCAGATCAGTGCTTCTGATTCATTTTACCATTTGATTCAACCAGTTATTAACAGTATGGAGTATGGAATTTCTGTAGTGATTCCTCAAACATTCATTTATATGACAAACAGTAAGGTGCATTAATCTTAACTGCATGATGTCCCAGTACTTCTCAGGAATTTAAGTTTTCCTCATCGTGGCGGTAACTCCTAACATTTCTTTTGTTCAGTGACTGCTGAAGTGTGGCACAACAATGTTGGTCACCAAAGTCTTATATGTTGTATCCTGCCCAAGATGCACTGCAGGTCCCAACATTGTTGGGAGTTGATACATTAGTTTGCATACCACTGCCAACACGGATACAACAACTCCCAACATTGTTGACCCAGCAATGTTGGGAGTTATTGCGCCCACTTCCGTGCAGCTTAACGAATGTAACTTTTTGTTTTTGTGGCATTGTAGGTACTATGATCAACTGGAAGCAATGGAGGGAAAATTTCCAGTTTCAGAATCACAGGTGAGCTTTTAGTACCCTACGCTTTAACCCTTTTAGCCCTAACAAGCGCTCATTTTCTTATCGCGGTGCAATGGCTTGGAACCAACTGCCAAATGAAACACGTGAGATGGGGGATCCTACTAGCTTTAAACTCGCCATATCTTAGGATATAACTTTTATCATGTTTTTATCTTATTTCTAATACTCATTTCTTGCTGTTATATTGTATTGTTAGTTAATCACTAGTCTTAATTTTTATAAATTGTAATTATCACACAGCATGTCTGAAAACCAGCTTGCTGAGCCATTTACCGTGTTTAAATAAGGTTGATTGATTGATTGATTGATTGATTGATCAGTGACCGACATCAAGTTTCTCTTAACAATGTCAATTCATATTCAAGAGAAGAGTTTTAGAGAATTAATGAAAATTGCCAAAACGCTTTGATCTTTTGACAAATTCTCTTGACTATTTTTTAAGGAAATGTGCGGAGATCAGTATGGAGAATTTTTATGCGGATAATTGAAATTTCAGCAAGTAGAATAAAGGCAGCATGATAGAAAGATTACAGTGCGAATATTAAAGTAGATGGAGGAAAAGAAATTCATCATAACTTCAGGGCTATCACTAAGGGTAGAGGTCTAGGGATTTCTCCTGAGCATGAAACCCAGCAATTTTAACAACAAAAAAACAAACAAACAAACAAACAAAATCAAAGGAGAATAGAACCAGAAGAATCTCAGGTGCAAAATTACCAGGTCAATTTAGGTTTCAGGGAAACTGCCCACCTACCCCTCCCCTAAGTCAACATTATCACTTACTTCTCACATAGGGCAAAATGTTGGATTAGAGGAGGGGTAGGTGGGCAGTTTCTCAGTTTACCAAGGTAACTTTAAATGTTACTGACATTCCTAAACTTTCAAAAAAGATAAAGTCTCATAAGTTAACATATGTACATGTATATTTATTTTGTTATAATTATATTACATTATTTTAAATTGCAGGTCAGGATCTCTTTTACATGGTATGATGCCTTTGACAAGGGATCTTTGTGGGGTTATCGGAAAAGCTGTAAGTATAATAACATTATAATGTATAGTGGAAGCTCTCCTGACACTATCGTTTAGTGGACTGTTCTACTTATGGCTACCCTCGCAAAACCCCATTTTTCTCAACTCTCATACATTGTGCAAACTCTTTATTATTATTTACTGACTGGTAATTGGCTAACTCCAGTTATTGGACATCTTTTTTGCATCCTGAGGGCGTCCACTTATAAGAGCTTCCACTGTTTGTATTATAATAATAGACAGAACATGTACAGAAAAATAATGTGAATGTCAATCCCATAGTGTGTTAGATAATAGCAAACTTTTGCATGGATTTACTATTGCATTAATTAATACATGTACATACTCATTATTAATAGCTATTAATAGTGCATTTTGAGTCCAAGTTGCCTGATGGAAAAGAAATTAGTTTGTTACCTTTCTAAAAAAGGCCAAAAACAAGTCATAATATGTCATCCATATTTTTGTGCTAACATGTACATGTAACTCAAACCTCACCGCCAAAGTAAACTGAGGCAATTTTCATAATTTTACGTTTTTGTCTCACCCTGCCAATGTTTTAGTATACAATGGAGTAATTTTTGCTGCTCGCCTTTATATTTTTATTATACGTATATTATTTTTGTGTTCTTTTTTCTTTAGCAATGCCTAGTCTCAATTATGAGAGACTATGTCTGCTGTTTAACATTGGAGTTTTGCAAGGACAAATTGCAGCAGCGCAGAATTTTCAGTCTGATGAGGGATTGAAAACAGCAGCAAAAATGTTTCAGGTTAGATTGTCTTTCAGCAAGGCTGTGCAAAAAGGAAAATTGAAGGGAGTCCAGTGCTCTGAAACTGTAAAATCTGGGGTGTCCAACATATGATTTGTATAAAAAATCTGAGATTTTCTAGTCGCCAGAGGGCAAAAGTTAGGTGCTAGGGGCCACCAGGCTCTGCTAGAGTGCAACCCTGAGGTGGCTATACAGTGGGAGTAAAAAGTTTTAAGTTATCTCCTTTGTTGTCTTGCCTATAATGTAGAGCATCTGTCAAATGTTTGGGCAGAAAAAATAAAGAGAGAGAGAGAGAGAGAGCTGTTATTAGTAGTGTCCCAGTCATAGATTATAATTATTGGTTATTGAGTGAATTCTCTTTAACCGATGCAATACGTGTAATCAATTCTGGGAAATGTTCAATCAATTGTAGCAGGGAAAATTAATTGTCATTTAAATGGTCTGATAATTATACATGTATAAGAAAGAGAAATTGTTTATTTAGCACATAAAAAAATTCTGAGCTCATTTGTCCGCAGTCAATAAACCCATTTTAACATTGTATTTCACATAACTGGACCTGCCAAAAGTTAAAGAAATTTTTTGATTATAATCGATCAAATGATTGGTAATTCTGATTGTTTCATTTCATTAATTGCATGTACATGTATAAAAGTTTCCAACACGGGCTGTTATTGAGCACATGCTGAACTTTTTTTGCTTGATTGTAGTTGGCCAGTGGTTCTTTTCATCTTCTGAAGGAATCAGTGTTTGCACAGTTGCATCAGGTACCTACGCCTGATCTGTCTGTGGAGACGCTGAATGCTCTTAGTGCCATCATGTTAGCTCAAGGACAGGAGAGCATCTGGAACAAGACTGAACAAGGTCAGTTAGTTTGCGAGCAAGCTCTTTTTCAGCTGTTCTCTCTATGCATGGGGGTTGGGGGTTGGGTCTTCTGAGTTGAGTCATCAGATGATATCACCAGAAGAGCTTGCCTGCAGACTATAATAATTATGTAGGCTAGTCAGGTCAATCTTGGCAAGCCCATATTAGTTTCTAGATTACTGGTCTGCAAAGCAGGTACACCTGTACATTGCAGGTTCGACCCCAGGGTAGACCAGACTAATACTCAGGGTCTTTAATCTGGGAAAGGAGGAACTGCACTACTGTCAATTTGCTACAGCTTTGTATAAGCACAAGGAAATGATGGTCCTGTCTTTAAGTGGAGACAAAAAAACAGAGTCTTGCTAGGAGAACAGTAATAATATTTAGTAAGTGATGGTACCCCCCCCCCCCCGCCTCCCCTTTCCCTTAAGGTTTTCAATTATTAGTCACTTATACATGTAATCAATGATAGACGTGCGACAATAATTATCAAAGATAACATGAAAGTAAATCAGTGACAATAATTTGAATAAGAGAAAAAGAAGAAGTTCTGCTAAAGTGTTAGTTGAAAAGCACGGTTCATGTTAAGCCATGTGGCTCTTCTTATCTGTTTATACTGAAACTGACAGTTTTTGGGAGTGATCAGTAATACCTTAGGTAGCAAGTGTTTCCGTAAGAGGTCCTTGAGAAAGTTGGGACAAGAGTAAAAAGAGAAATAAAGGGGGTGGGGGAGGTATGAAATAGTTTCCTCTTTTCCTTTCATCTTCCCTTTTTTGTGGGTGCTGTCATTCCTAAATTGTTGTACTCTCGTGCAGTAATTTGATTGGTAACGCTTGCTATGCAGGCTACAGTAGATCAACAATTCAATTGAATTATGAGACATGCATAACAATTCCTTTTCACTTGCTTGTAGATAAGATGAAGGATGCTATTATAGCAAAAGTGGCACTGCAGGCTGCAGATTTGTACAAAGAAGCAAATGCAGCATGTCAAGTAACATCAGTAAAACAACAACTAGAAAAGGTAAAGGGCATTTTCAACACTTATAGTGGAGCTCCACAGGCACGTACGAGCAGAGCCTCATAGCTAAGAAAAATTTGGTTATCGATCCAACTAAGAGATTTTGGTAGGCATGACTGTATGTCAATCTGGCCGACCGTCCATCTGTCCACCCATCTGTCTACACCACATTGCAACCATTATGTAAAATCTCAGACTTTCTAGTTTATGTGGGAGCCTGCAACCTATTATTGCACATCCATGTTGTGGTTAATTATTGTTGATGGCTGTCGGGTTATGGGCTTATCAGTATTACATAACAATATCCAGGCCCTGGTATTGACCCATCGAGGTTACAGTTTTTGAAGTAATCTGCTGTCAAGTTTCTAGTTTTCAACTGATTCCAGGCTAAACTTAAATTGGAATTCTTTGGGATGGTTACTTTGTTGAAAGTAAAGTATAAATTTATCAAAAGGAGCTTTTCTTTTAGCCTTGGATAAGTCTACATAACTAGTTATAACCAGGGTTATGGAGTGCGGGTGGCAACGATCGAAGGTCAAAATGCTTTTGCTCCAGCGCTGTGCTTTGGTCAAAACACGCGTGATCAGATTACGAGTGATAGAAGGTCCAAACGCGTGTGATCAAAGTGCGTTCTGTGTTTTCCATACATTCTTATGGGAAGTCCAAAAGAATGCTGGCTACATACATGCGACGCATGCGTAATACCAACCTGGAGATTAGGGTTGCAAGCTCCTTTTGTCGCCCGCAATAATTATTTTTCTTTATAATTTCTCTCTTGTCTGAGTTGTGTGGTAAGATAAAGATGAATACCAAACCATCTTACATTCTTTTGTTTCATTAGGAGTGGAGTACAATCCTATCGTCAAAGCATGATTTCTTCACTGCAATAGCTCAGTATCACCAGGCAAGACTAGCTAAGGACAAGGGCTCTTATGGGGAGGGCGTGGCTAGGTTTCAACTGGCTGAAAAACTCATGGCGACTGTTGCAAAGAATAGCATGGGACTTATTGAATTCAAGGTATGTTGCGCTCTGAAGCCAAGCTATTGTCATGTAGTTTTAAACATGATTACCTTTCTAGCCTCTTGCCATGCATTGTGCGCTTTCACCTTTAAATAGATCGAAACGAGAAGAGGAAGAACACCGCGATTGTTTCTACATAGGATCGTCACTAAGAACACGCCAGTCAGATTTAATGAAAAACTTTTCCCACATCCTCAGAAGTCTTTCCGAGGGTTAACTTGTGCCTGATAAGATTAAAATCAACCGAGCGTTATTGTCTTGTTGTAAGTTGTTGTTATAAAATAATTATCATTCTAGAAGTAAGGTTTCTTTCGGTAGAATAGTAATGTGAAAGGAAAGGACTTGAAGTTTGGCTTTAGTAATGAGGAAAAGTCTTGATTTATTTTCCCCAGACTAGCACATTAAGTGAACCTGCTTGCAGACTACGTTTGCTTGATATAAGAAGTCTTGTTTACATGTACTTGATTTATAAGAAGTCCTGTTTGCTTGATATAAGTACTTTGAAGGAGGTACAGAATCTCTCTTTTTGCTGTTTTTGTTTTTTAATGAGTGATTTTGTCTTTTGTCGAATGATAATAATTCAAAGTTTTGTTTTGAATCTGCGGGAGCTAGTAAAATTACATGTTTTGAGTTATATGATTCTAATTCAAAATCTAAGGGTTGTTAGTGCCATCGAAAGAGTCCCTGAACCGACTTGAGCAAGAAAGGAATCTTTTACAAACTATGCCAATTTTTATTTTCCTTTCTTATTTAGACCTGGCAGAGCCGGATTAATAGAGAAGCTGCCGAGCTTAAAAAAGACAACGAGTTCATTTATCACGATAGAATTCCACCAACCGACAACTTGGAGGCCATTGGTCGAGCGGCGCTTGCTAAGTCTTTACCGCCGTCTAAACCGGCTTCGTCCAATTCTGTAGACTTGTTTTCCAAGCTGGTGCCCATGGCGGTCCACAATGCACTGCAAGCGTACGAATCTCGCAAAGGGGAGATAATCAACTTTGAGGTTGGCCGTCTGAGAGAAGGAACCCAGTTAATGAACAGGTCGGTTAACTTGAAAGGCTAACAAAATTCGCATCTAGACTACTGTAGTAACCAGAAGGTCATAGATTCGACTCCTATTTCAAAAACTCGGATTTTTTTCTTCGAAGCCGTTTATGTCACAGACTGGATAAACACCTTTCTCAAAAATAAAATTTTGGATTGGGTGGTTGGGGGCTTGTACTCTCAAAGCCTTAAGGTATGTTACACGAGACGATTCGCAACGATGAGTTTAGCGCAACACAGCGTTGCAACATTGTTGCGGCATTGTTTGGAATGGTTACGACATTATTCCAGCATTGCATCGCTATGTTGTGTTAAAAATCGTCGTTGCGAATCGTCCTCGCCCGTGTAACATCACCTTTAGAGTCACCGGCGCGAGCAATTTTTCCTAAACTTTAGACTGCTAAGTTAAGTATAAATGTCAGTCATAACCATAAGCAGCAATTATTGGATGATGCTGGGTACATTTGAAGAATCTTGCAGATCGAGGAGGGTTTACTGAATCTGCACAATCGTCTTCACTCCCATATCATAAGAAAGCCGAACGCAATAATTGCTACTTATTGTTGTCTTGGCTTTTTTCACATTACATTCTGAATGTGACTGATTATATTCTAAACATTCCCGAGCGTTTAACATGTAAAGTTCCCGTCTTAAAAATGTGCCTGTTCCTAGGCAGTTTCAGAATATGACAGGTTGTGTGTGTAGCAAATATTTGTCAAATAGCTTCTTGTCTATTCTTGCTGTTGTGGGGGCAGAAGTTCGTCTTTTTCTTTTTAGCATAACATGTCAAATCTTCCGCTATTTTCTTCACCTCTAAACTGCCAGAGTAAATGAGTAGTTGCACAGTTGAACCGTGCGTTGCACCGTGTGTATCAATACAGTTGACGTCATATATTCTCTTTTGTTTGTTTGTTTGTTTCCTTTGGTCATCAGTGTTCTTGCCTCACTAAACTTGCCGGCAGCCATTGAAGACCTGTCTGGGCAGACGGTTCCCAAATCCATGTTAGATAAATCAGCAGCTGTTATCGAAAAAGGAGGCTTACAGGCCCTTGACACCTTCATGCAGAACTTACCGGAGCTGCTTCAGAGAAATAGAGAAATTCTAGATGAGGTAGGAACTTGTTAGGAAGAATTGAAAGTCAAGTTACGTGCAAACGGACGCTACAACTCCCAGCATTGTTGGGCCAACAATGTTGGGAGTTGTTGTTTCTGTGTTCGCAGAGGTGTGCAAACGGATAGAGCAACTCCCAGTTTCCCCTCGACCGAAGGCCTGGTCACAGGCTAACAATGTGGCGTCCGTTTGCACGGGTCTTTAAGCAAACAAACTTTCAACTCACCATGTCTGTTATTGGACGTATTGAGTTCATTTCACGTCCTAACCATTCTATTAAGTCATAGAATAATGGCCAACGTTTGAGCATACATGTACTATACGTTTGTTTTCCTCTGGGACGTACCAGGCTGAAGAAAAATATGCAGCTCGGCGATTTGACCATCTGACCTAGAATAAATGATTTGTTTTCACAGGCAACTCGCATGATGGACGAGGAAGAACGTGACGATTCGCAAATGAGAGAACGATTCAAAACCAAGTGGACACCCAAACCATCAGGAGAACTCACCGTGCAACTAAGGCAAGAAGCTGAAAAGTACCGCGGAATAATGGAGAATGCTATGCGAGCTGACGGAGTTGTGCGTGAGAAATACAACAAACATCGCCGTCATATGGATCTGCTTAGTAAAGGCGAGGTAAGGGACCGGGTACTCACATGCTAAAATCAAGAAAGAACATGAGGAAAATAAGAATGTCCAACCTAGGGTGAAAAAAAAAACATCATTCTTAAAAAAAAAGAGAGAGAGAATTAGAACCAGATTTCAGAAGATTTCCGAGGAGGTTCCGGAGTATTTTAATTATAAACCAGTGTATTGTAACTTTTTTGATACAGTATTCACTAATACGTTTAGCTATCGTTGATTGAAATAAAATATTCTGTAGTTATATCTAAAGTTTAAATGGTCCAAAAAAACCACTTTAAAAGAAGTTCGTAATAAAAAAAAGACTTTTGCGTGTTTTAATCCAGAAAACGCGATCATTCTTATTAACTCGTTCAGTTGAATGTAAAGTGTATTTCTCAAGTATGTACCGGAATAGTCTTTTCTAGTAGACAGTCTGTAACTTGCACAATATTTAAGGGTTTATCTTTTATTAACAGGCACAATTAACTGCCGCAATACCCAAAATAGGAGCGGCGTCCTCTTCGTCATCTTCAAGCCCTGCTGTACAGGAACTGAGAAAGCTCATGGAACAAATCGACACCATAAAAGCTGAGAGAGACACTATGGAACAAGACTTGAAAGTACAACAGGACGATATGGGTCAGTATTATACGCTTACCATTAACAGTGGCATGAGATTCAAACCATCGTGAGTTTAACTGGAGGCTCACTTGTGCGACTTTGAGCAAAATTTTCATTATTCCTCGCCCGTGAGCATGCTCGCAAGCTATTTAAATTGGTAAAAAAACTACTTGTCGATAACTTAGGAGGAGAACGATGTTTTTGGGAGACTGCGGCAGAAGCTGTTTTTGTTTGTCCTTTTGTTTGTTTGCTTTTTTTAAAATTATTGTTTGGAGTAATTGTTCTTACTAAGATGGTCATATAATCATCACGTTTTCAGAAGTGTCGAACATACCACAGGAAAGTTATGCTTTTTTTTTTTTTTTTTTTTTTTTTTTGATTTGCCCACACTTAAGAAATTCTTCTAACAAATTATAGCTACAGGCACCTTGCCTTTAAGGGGCTTTCTGACGTTTTACCGACTTCAAAAGGAGAAAATAGATCTTTCCCTCCCTCATCCCTCTATGCAATGTTGTGTCGCTGTTCGTGTTACCTGTAGAAAACAACTAACACCCCAACTTTGAATGGAGGGGAGGGGTGTGGATTGTTTTGTTCTCTGAAGTTACCCTACTTGAGTTCAATGTGTCAACAATTTTTTCGCCCATTGTAGAATCGCGAGGAACAAATCAGTAAGTGCTACTGTCTTTTGTAGACCCAACAATTAGAAATCTTCTCACGTTAGATTTCTAACAGAAACAAACAAACAAAACAAAAAAAAAGTAACAAACGATATAGTAACGTGTTAAATTGAAAAATGTTCTCGTGACTTTGCAGCCGTGAAGTTTCTGAGTGCCCTTGCTGCCGATGGTACTATCCCGGATGTAGAAGGGATTATCAGCTCCAATTTAAGCGCGGCATTTGATTCGCTGAAACAGAGCGTGACCGACAGCCTTGCAAGACAAGAGAAGATCATGGCTTCAGTGCAGGTTTGTGCGATATAGTTTAATGTACATATAGATGACCTTCCATCCAGAGTAAGCCACATCCCTCTTAGTCTGCTACACAGCCGTTTTTAGTGTCGTCACTTTAGTGTCGTCACGCAACGCTCCGAAGTGAGGAGCGTTGGCTGACGACACTAAAAGCGGCTGAGTGGAAGACCAGTTGATTCGTCGAAAATTGAGAAGCGTGTTCGCTTCCTAGCACCCTGCGGCGCACGTATAAAGGGAAAGGAATGTGGTTCGATTGTCAGCAGCCGTTTGTGGGTAGGAGCGTTGCGTGACGACACTATAAAAGGGCCGTGTGGCAGACTACATCCCTTGGAACTCTCTTGGTAATTCATATTCCATTCTGTAACTATAAAAAACAAAATTCAAAGTAGTCGTTATTACCTTAAATGATGTAACGCTAACTGTTAAATACATAAACATCTCTTGTCTTATAAACTCCCCTCCTAACATGTTAACGTTTGTGTCAGAAGCTATTTGAAATGCCCCCTTTTTATTAGATCTTTAAGCCCCAATATCCACATACAAATTCTCCAAAATGATCTCTATACATTTCCTTAGAGAATGTGTTGAGAGAATTTGGTAAAAAATCAAAGCATTTTCCCTTAGGTGATGACTTTATTAATTCTCATAACCTAATCTCTTGACAATCTATGGATATCGTTGAGAGAAAATTGATATTGGTCACCACTGGGACTTAAAGAGTTAAACGCCCCCTCTTGGACCCCTCAACTAAACTTAGATAAACGCCCCGGGCGCCTATCACGTACGTTAAGTAACTCTTGAAAACAGCTACAGGGATTGACCAATCAATTTCCGAGATCTTTCTCACTGTGTTCATTTTATTTTTTTTTCCTATTATACTCAGACGGCTAATGATAAATTTGTTAAAGAGAAGCAATCTGGACAGGCAGCAACTGAAAGAGAAACCATGCTTAAAGAACTAGCCACAGCTTATGATATTTACATGGAACTGATCGGCAATCTTCAGGAGGGAACTAAGGTAAAGATGTGAATGCGACTTAATTGAGTGAGAGAGAAAACCGCTTTTTCTTTAACTCTTTCATACACAACAATCTTTTTCTGTAATTCTAAGATTTAATTACAATCTTGCAAAATTTCTTCCAAAGAGATTCAACTTAAAATAGGTCGACCCAAATTAGATTTTGGTCCGTCTGATTCAAAGTTCGACATTTGGCCCAGGCCTTACTTTCGTAATTTTGTACTGATAGAAGTTATTCTTCGTAGGTACGTGACTGAGTTAGTCCCTCGAGAAGCTAGTTAACTTTCAAATCTCAGGCCCTGTTTACATGGAGTGGGGGACCCCGGTCTAGTGGGGTTGGTTTCTTTTGTTTTCACGCTCTGGGAGACACAAAACAAAAGAAACCTACCCCACTAGACCGGGGTCCCCCACTCCATGTAAACAGGGTCTCAATGTCCCAAACGTTTTCAAACAACACTGTTTCTCTCGGGACTAATACAATAAGACAATGGCGTGGAAAGAAGGAAACAAACAACAACAGCAACAAAGAGAAAAACCATCAACAACAACAGCTGAAATCGATTTCCCGACAAGATTCGAACCCATGGCATCTTAGAAAGTCAAAACTTCTTTTTTTTCTTTTATTTTCTTTTAGTTTTACAACGATTTCACCCCGATACTTGTACGTTACCAGCAGAAGGCCAGTGATCTTGTTTTCGCTCGTAAAACAGAGCGCGAAGAGCTGTCCAGGTGAATAAATAAGCCTAAACTGTAATCGTATGTTAACAATGGCACTGTTGATGTTAAAATATTTCACATGCAATTGTTCGTAGCTGTGGTAAGCTGTGGTGAAATCTGACGCAGACCGCTTATACAAATGACTCCGAACACCTTGAGTTACTGTCCTTAAACAAAGAATTTTTCACTTGATTGCGTGGCTTAGGATGTAACTGTATTGCTGTTCAAATATTTGCTGATTTACAGTTATGCAAAGGGATATGGGCTCCCGTTTCAGTGTTCAAGTGCGCGTCGCAGGCGTTCGAAAATACGCGCGAGCAACGAGGAAAGTGTACGCCGTTCCCCTTTCTCCTTCCTATCCCACTTTACTCTCCCCTTTTCCAACGCTTTACACGCACTAATCATTTCTAGCTATGCAATGTCGGGTAAAAGTCTGTAGAAGGAATGAAATGTCGAAGACTGTGCACTAGATCCCATGGTAATACAATTTTCAATGAACTCCACAATTCTTAGCAGACTTCCATGCAGACGTTCTTTGGCTCGTCACGCAATCCCCTCCAACATAAAGGAACGCGTGAAGAGTCTCTAAGGGCCTGTTTACTTGGAGATGGGGACCCCAGATAAGTGAGGTGACCCGCTAAGGTGGGATAACCCGCCTGTCCGTATAATCTCTCATTTAATTTGATAACGTTTACATGATAGGTGGGGTGACCCGCCAGATGTTACCTCACCTACCTGGGGTCCCCCACCTCCATGTAAACAGGCCCTAAGAACGTCTGCGTGGGTGGCTACACTATCTTATGCTGTTGTGTTGTGCTATGATTTGGTTTCTCGTTGTCGTCTTTCAGCATTTTAATGAATGAAATAAGTTTTTATTTGTTTTAAGTTAGGTTTTTCAAGAGGTAGAGCAGAAGCAAATAATGATCGGCGCTTTCCATTTACCTGGAAATCCCTGTTGCGATTTTAATGGAACACACGTTTTCCGAGCGTTCCACTGGAAAGTTTGCGGAATAAGTGGAATTTTGAAAAAGGCATTCCTGTTTTCCTGTTGAAATTTTGTGGTGAAAAAGCATGTTCCATTTACGAGTTTTCACAAGGAATCACCAGTTTCAGGCTATTTACGGCGATATCTGTGTCACCATCTTGAATTTTTGTGACGAGATCATAAACGAATGCAACTTGTGTCAAATAAAACACGTTCTTCACTCGATGGACCTTTCCATGAAAGTTTCCGAAAGTTTTTGGTAAATGGAAAACGCCCGATAACTTCATTTTGGTCAAAATTTCTGAGCTGTGCATTGTTCGGTTATTGGGCAATTCAAAGGAGAACCTCCGGTTTATCTCTGTGGTATTTGAATCAATTGCAGAGATCTCCAGAAGTCAATAGCCAGTCAACCAGCAGAACAAACTCCTGCAGCACCTCCACACCACCAGCCTTCAGGTTAGTAACCCTAGGCGAGGTTAGGTAGGCCCCGTCCGTCCGTTTAGCAGCGAGAGTCGTGTTTTTGTTGCTTGTTGTTTATTTTTTCTGTTAAATCGTGTCACATGTGGGACGATTCGACGCAAGCACACACGCAAAGAACATAGAACATTCCATTAGCTTAAGCTGTTTTTGCCCAGTCCCTGTACGGCGTTTTCCCAGGCCTTCTCGGTCAATTCACTTCGCTGACTCACTTCTTTGCTCGGACAACGAGACCCGAAAGTCGCGGAATAATGAGGCCTTGGCTAGACAAATGAGTAGACAAAGCTGTTTTAGTAAATGCGTTAGTAGGAATTCCGGTAAACTGTAGGAACGCGAGGATACACGCAAAAATACCCGCTTATGCTTGCGTCGTTCGTTGGTTTCTCGTATTTACAGTCGCGTTGTTACATTACAAGTCCGAACCCGAACATGCGCTCTATTAAAATGTTAAGCTTGTTCTATTTGAGGTTTGTTTCACATTTGATTACGCTTTTTTGTCTCAAATTTCAACTTGACCATAACCAATCTTAAAATTAAAGATGAAAAGAAAAGAGGGAAACATTTGTATATAGAGAGAGAATCTTATCACCTGGCTTTTGTTTCACATAACCTGTATTTATAGACTTACAATCGTAAACATTTCAGCGTTGAGACTAAAGCTGGCTGCTTCCTTCCCTTATCTGCTATTAACTAACTATTTTCTGTTGAATTTCAGGTGCACGTGTTCCTCCAGCTCGACCTCCACCCCCATCAACTCAACAGGCGCCCCCACCAACAACAGCGTCCTCCGCCCCACCAATGGCACCTCCGCCCGGAGCTCCCCAGCAATACCCCCCTCAATCCTACCAACCTATGCCAACCCCTGGGTACATGCCTTATCAGTACGGAAGTTATGCTCCCCCAGGGGGAGTCGGTGGGGTTCCTGGAGGTTATCCCGGGTACGCACCTCCCTTGCCTCCTGGTTATTACTACGGTGGATATGGCATGCCACCGCCTCAAGGCTACCCCCCACAGGGGCTGCAGTCCCCTCCTGGACCACAGTACCCGAGGCAATAACCTAAGAATTTATGTTTAGTGATTTTTTTTTTTTTGTATCTCTTATGCATCAGTTTATTCCGGTAGGGCCTACCACCGGGTCATCTTTTCGGGGTATCCATTCAGTAAGAGGCAGAGAGAATAAAAAATAGCCATAGTAATAACTGGCAGATTTCTAAGCCTAGACATTTCAGTGCAAAATTCCTTTATTTACGCCAATCTACTATACAACAAGAACACTATCATAAGAGATATAAATGAACGTAGAAATATTAAATAAATAAATAAAGGGATGTTGTATTGATCATTCATATTACTGTAGCTTACCGTAATGTTTTTAAAATGCAAGCTTCCTATTTTGTATCCAGCATTCAAGAATTGCACGCTCTTTCTTAACAATGCTGGCAATGTGAGCTCAGACAAACTTTATTTGAAGTCCATTACAGCAAGAAGCCGAAAAGTGTGACCTCCTTTAATTAATTCACATTCTTTCATGAAGGCATTAACCAATCAGAAGTTGAGGACAGTTTCCAGCTGACTTTTAATTGGATTAAATCTGCACGAAAAAATGTGAACAAATTAAAAGCGGTCACATTGTTGGGCTCCTTGCTGTAACAGTAGGTGCAAAATCTGTTTCTTCTTGTGATTCCTCTTGTGAGTGATCCTTAATTCACATCTTGATAAAACTCATGAACTAATTGGCGCAAAGTACTCAACTGCCATCTCTCACAAGTGAAGAAATGGCGGCTAACCGCCCCCCCCCCTCCTCTCCGGAGAGAGGTCCCGCTAGAATCGACTGATGCACATGTGACTGAAAAGATAGTTAAAATACCACTTAGCCTGGCTATCGTTCCTTGTGTATCCTGCTTAGGTGGCTTAGGTATTTAGGGAAAACGAAAGGCTATTACGGGTTCTAAAAAAAGCAACCGCCAGATTAAAAAACAAAAAAAAAGAAAGAAAGAAACGCATAATTTAGATATGTAATTTAATTTTTCCCATTAATGGTATAGGAAAGCAAGTATCCCTACTGCAAGAAAAAAATGTTACCGTCCTAGGCACTCACTGAAAAGTATATTGAAGCTTGAACACGTTCGAATTTACAAAGTAATGAAAATAAAGGTCGGTTTTTGCTAACAATGCGAGTGTGAAAATCATTTTATACTGCTAAATGGTGCTAGAATGTTTAAGACTTAAGAACTTTGTTTGACCTTTTTCCAAGAGAGAATAAAAGGACAGACAAGGAATCTTAGGTGGTGCCCTAAACTGCAAAACAGTCGTTTTTTTATTTTATATTTTTCTCAGAATCAGTAAAGAAATCGGTAAAGCGTGGCGTAAGAGTCTTACGCGCGAAGAGTGTGAGACGAGAGAAAAAAACCGTATTTTTACCGTCAATCCCCGGTCCCAGCTCGTTTAGTGATTTTTGTAGGATTTTAAATTTTCACCGATAGTGATTGACAGGTCGGATCCAAATTTTGAAGAATGGATTCTGGATTGCAGCTTAAACTGAAGCTGCATCAACTATGGAGAATTGGGTTGTTACTCAGTCAAAATTGCTCTTTAAGCAATGATTTTAACTCCAACTTGTGCGTCTTAAGACTAGAGGGCGTAGTTTCTCCCGTGATACTTTGATAACTTTTAAATTAGTTTAACACGATCACGGTCTCGGTTCTTCACACGAACCTCATAAGTTGCCGGGTTGGCTTTATGCTTAGTTGCTTTTACACGAGCATTTCTAGTTGTTCTGTTTCGTGGTGGGAGCGGTTAGCCGTTCTGTATAGTCAAGCTGAGCTTTCACCTTGTACATTTATTTAGTACCCGCGCCGCGGATCGAAAATTCTTGTTTTCTTATTGGCTATTGTACGCAACCAATTACGGAGTCAGTGTGCTTTTATTTTAAATCCTCTTCTGCTTGAAGCTGGAAGTGCGTTTTTTAGGAACGCATTTTGTGAAGAGAGACTTTTTGTAAGTAAAAAAAATCATAGCTTAAATCAATCATGTTTTAGCTAGCCAATTCCAGTTTTCCTACGTTGTGTTAGTTTGGATATTTATTTTAGTAGATTGTTCGCTCCTCTCCCTCTTGGCTTACAGGCGGCACGCCCAAGTTTAAGACGTGTAGAGAGATTTTTTAAAGTGAAAAACTCGTAGCTTGAATCGATCATATTTTAGCTAGCCATTTGCAGTGTGTTAGTTTGGATAATTCAGTAGATTTTTCTCTCCTCTCCCTCTTGGCTAACAGGCGGCGCGCCCAAGTTTAAGAGGTGAAGAGAGATATTTTTTAAAGGGAGGAACTCGTAGCTTGAATCGATCATGTTTTAGCTAGCCAATTGGAGGTTTCATACGCTGTGTTAGTTAGGATAATTCAGTAGAATTATCCCTCCTCTCCCTCATGGCTTACAGGCGATGCACCCAACTTTAAGAGGAGAGGGGATTTGTTAAAGTGAAAAATTTATAGCTAAAATCGATCGTGTTTTAATTGGTCATTGCAGTTTTTTTACAAATTTTTTTTTTTTTTTTTTGTGGTTATCGTATTTTTGTTCTGTGACTCTGCTTAACTATTGCGCGTGATGTGTGTTTGAGTTACAGAGGAAACCGGAAAAAAGCTAGTTTTGTTCGCGGGCGGCAATAATTTAATTTCGGCAGTTTAAGGTTTAGCCTGTGTACAGGATATTACCCTGGGTGCCAGAGGCTTTTCATGCGCGGTTTCCGGTATCGGTCAAGTCTTAAAAGGTGACCCACGCGAAAAACCTCTGGGCAAGAGCGCTATCCCTTTGATAGCGCCGAGCCAATTACAACCCCGCTTAATTGCTTTGGGGTAGCTGTCAAGGGAAACTCTATTGTTTTCGAGACATATCCAAGACCCAGACGATAAAATTTTCCCGAGGTAAGTTACCTGGGGAAAAATCGGTCACTCTTAAAAAATCAAGTTTCCCTAGGTAAACTGTCAACAAGTCGGGTTTACCTAGGTAAAAAGTGTGTAGTGTGACCACAGCTAATTTTAAAATGTAAACTTCTTCCTTGCGGCTAAGTAAACTTTTAGGTTGTTTAATTTTCTCCAATCAATTGCCCCCTAGATCTGAATAGCTAAAAGCGATTTACTTTTGTCCGTGAATGTGAAGGTTTCCAGCAATGTTTTGTCACGCTGGGCCTAGCTCGTTAGTAGTTCGTTTTGCAGAATGTTAAATTCTCCTTTAGTGATTTTCAGATCCAAATTTCGAACAATGGCTTGCAGCTTAAACTGAAGCTACATAAATTATGGAGAACTGCACAGTGACAAGATTAGCAATGACTTTTAAACTACACCTTGTTTTTCTAAAGATGCGACTCTTTGGGCTAGAGCGCGTCGTTCCTCCATTGATAATTACTTTTGAATTAGCTTATTAAACAGTCTCGCGACCGCGGCTTTGATTGACAGATTAGAGACAAGGTCAAGGTCCATCTAGCACGGTAAATCAAGGCGTTCTGCGCCAGAGGTTTTTTCTCGCGGCTTTGCCGCTCGTGCTCCCCGTCGCACGCGAGAAAAAACCTCTGGTAGCCAGGGTAACAGGATATTTAAGGTTAATATTTTCAATAATGTCTAAATCATATGAAACAAAACAACAACAAAACTGCTGGTGAAGGTATGATAGTGAACATGATCATCGCAGTAAAATGCGCAGCCTATTCGGTTACTTTTGCCAGTCTGAAAAGCGTTAATCAAATGTACCCGTCGGATACATCTAGAAATCCGTTTTAACCTTGCCTCGTGTTTCATTTGATCCTCGACCTTTTAAAGAAAACCTCTTTTTAAGCACACTTTAACCATTTTATCACATTATTTTGTCATGTTTGGTTAAAAACAGTATCCAAAGGAACATGATCTAATCACAGCTTCGTCTAAGAAGTCTTGTCCTCTTAATCGTATTCCAACCAAGCTTCTTAATGAGTGCGTAGATGTGCTACTGCCTCCGATCACCAAAATAATTAATCTTTCCCTTGATTCTGGTTATTTTCCGCGCACCTGGAAGTGTGCTCTGGTGCGACCGCTGCTGAAAAAGGGTGGATTACCCCCTGTCTTTAAGAACTTCAGACCAGTGAGTGATTTGGCATTTGTCTCAAAGCTAGTTGAGACTGTGGTTGCCAAGCAACTACAATATTATTTAAATTGTATCAATCTGTTCCCAGTGTTCCAATCAGCTTATCGACAAAACCACAGCACAGAAACTGTACTGCTTAAGGTTATGAATTACATTCTCTTGAACATGAACAATCGGTGTGTTACTTTGCTAATTCTGCTCGACTTGAGTGCTGCCTTGCCTAGTCCCCGTACGGCGTTTTCCCAGTCCCTGTCGGTCAATTCGTTTCGGTGACGTATCCGAGGCGAACGGGCGGGAAACGCCTAGACAAAAACAGAATGCGCATGCGTGCCTTACTTGATGACGTTAATGTTGTGAGCAGCAAGCAAGTAGGCAGCAGGAGATTTTGGTTATATTATTAACCACTCTTGTGGATATTTGTAGGATCGACTTTTGCCGACCGGCTTTGAAAGTCATCAGAATGTTATTCATAGTCCTATGAAGATTTATACTGCTCCTTCAGTCTCATCATTTTAACTGAGCTATCGTTTGCCGCTCGCGAATTTTCAAAGTAAACACAATATTGACCAGTGTGTTTTAAACTTAGACCTCAAGTCTTGAATAATTAGAAAAACCATACTTTCAAATAAAATTCATTAGCTGCGTATCAAAAAGTGCCCAGAAACTGAATCTAAAAGTAAAAATCCTATAAAATTCGCCGACATTCACAGAAGTGATGCGTGTATTATAAATGTGAGAAGCATTAAATTCAACTTGCATGCGTTGTCTCAGGATCGTGTTTTGAGCAAATGTTAATCAATGAAAGAACACACAACAATAGACAGAGAAATTATTTCTCGAAAATTTGTATTCAAAGGCCCAAAAATTAATCCTTAAAAGCAATTCGCGTGACACAAATTTGGCTCGTGGATCCGTTCACGCCAGTAAAATCGGCTGAGCACATGGCAAAAATTATTCAACACAAATCTCA